AGAAACAATTAAGGATAATTAACAAGCTTTATTAGACAGTAAAATTTGTGGTGTTAATGGAAGTTTTGTTTTTGTCTCATTCTGTGCTTTTATGCCATCCTATCAAAAATGATTTTGCAACAACAATAACAATAACAAATCGTTAAATTCTTTATGATATCACTTTGAGCAAAACTAACAAATTGTTCCAAAAGTAACTGGAATGTTCTTTCATCAAACAATAGCTATAATGTCATCCTTCTCATTCTGTGGAAGCTTCGCATTATTTACAATTTGGAATGGAAAATGAAATTTCATTTACTATAGCTTATGAAATACAATGATTTCAAATGAATTGAAATTTTCTCCAATTACACTCTGGAATAAAAAGGAGGAATACCTTGTATCCAGCTCCACAAAGAAACACCTGATCGGAATCAATCCGGAAAAAGAATTCTCCTGGTATACCAATATCGCTTTTCTCGGCCAATTTTATTGCATCTTGTGTTCCTGAACCGGGTAACGAATAATGGCCATCTAAACCACTGAAACCTGCCTACAATTGAAGAGAATAAACTATCCATCCGTAACGTATAAATTACTGGAAAAGGCTATATTTTGCCGGTTTGTACTGTTGACAGTTTGACAAATAAAATGAGTCAATAAAAAAAAAAATAAATTTGAAAAAACGATGAAATAAATTAGACACAAAATTTAGAATTAATTCTCGATTCATCTAAAAATATCTGCTATGTAACAAACATTTACCACGGCATTTTTATTTGTATTCAGTTTACTATAAACAATATGCGCAAATGTCCCACTGTTACTCATAATCAGTGCCACTTGAAATGAATTACCTTCCGAATTCTGTAACAAAATTTCTTTCAATATTTTATATTTACAATGATATTCTTAAATATATTAAAAAAAAAAGGAAGTGAAACATAGACCTAATTTAAATTTATGGATATGTTTGATAAGTATTGAAAAAGTTTAAAACATACTTACAGGTTCTGTAATATCATGAGTATTTTCCCAAGTAACAATAAGTACTGCATTTGGTTTGAATGTTGATCCATAACGATATTGAATATTTACTTCATTTTCCACCAAATGCAATATTGATGAATCTAAAAAAGAAAAAGATATTTACTGAAATCTTTTTGGATTTCAATGATTCCTTTTATCTTCTTAATGAAAGCTAACATTGTATAATTTTTCTATTCCTCATAAATCACAGGCCGCTGATAAATCCTTTATCATTTGAACACGTTTTTTTTTTGTTCAAAACTTGTAACTTATCAGCTAACATAAAAGTTTCATCAAAAGTTTGGAATACTTGACAAAAAATTCTTGAGCGACTATTTTCCTCATATAATTATCGCTAAGTTAACTTTAAGTCAAGCTAACTTCACCTTTGTCCCATTCTCCAATCCAAAAGCTACTTTATCCCATTCTCTTCGTAAGCCGAATAAAGCCGTAAATGGTTTGTTAGGATCTGAGATAATATTTCCGGAATATAGCTTTTCCCTATTATTCCAGATAATATGAAAAAGCCTTTAGGGAATGTCATGTGTGGAAAAAGGATTTGTCAGAATACAACATTAAATCAGACCTGATATGTTTGGCTGTAAGTCTTCTTATAACTAATATTTCAAGTATCCTTTAGTTCTTCAACTAAAACATTTTAAATTACCATGCTATATTCCGTCGTTTTTTTTTTATTTTTCACTTTAAAGTTTATTATTCCAATTTTTGCATATTTAAAGATGATAATTTAAAAGGTTTGAAATTAAATAACTTTAAAATAAACTGTAACTAACCATTAGACTCTCTGTAATGTACTTTTCCACCTTGTGCTGGCATCCAATATACAGCTATTACGGGTTGTGGGGATGGTATTTTTGAGGGTTTCATTGGTACCGCTGACAAACCAATTGCTCCATCACGTCGAATCTGTATTTCGGGGATGAATTGAATACAGTATACCAAATATAACTTTGAACTTTATTTATTTCCAATGATTCATACATGGTCTTACGCAAATACCATACAACATAATTCATCTAACATACTGACCTATCTATAAAATGTTTATAAAACTTGATTTAAGTACTTAGTGGAAACTTAGTTCTCAATTAATCTCACAATAAAAATTACTTTGGAAAAAATTATTGTCAGGAAAAATTTACATTGACAGCGTCATATTCTTTGCCAAGAAATTTAAATATTCTGCTCAGTTTAATGATTTGTGATGAGCCTGCAAGAATCTGATCACCTTTGGATTCACCGAATGGATACAATCTTGCTCTGAATACATATGGTACAGTGATATTTAAATCAATCTGTGGTGTATTTGAGGTATCGAATTGACGCTTGTATCGATAATGTTCTGTAAAAAGCGATCAATGATAAGTGATGTGAGACTTTAATCATTTATGATTTGAGATTAAATCAATTTAACTATAAGTTAGCCGTAGAGCTTAAAAAGTACTAATTGTTCTCCTTTAGGTAAAAAGTTTTGAAGGGAATCATTCGGAAAATTAAAAGATGGAATTAATAAATGAAGCTTTAAAATAATTTGATATAATTGGGCTACTTGACAATAATATATGGTTTTGTAAAAGATTACGATTCTAATTTGCTTCACTAACTCGATAAAGTAATATTTAATATTTGAAAATTAGAAAGAAAATTTGAAAATTTGAAAAATGCAAAATTTATTCATTAAATTTTATTTGAAAGTTTTATTTCGAGTTTTTTAGAGTAAAAGATAAGTTTTTACTTTTTTAAAAAAAGAAATAAGAATATGTAATGTTATTTTAACATTAATGGCTTTCATTTTCATATTGCTGAATAAATGAACTGTTATAAAATGTAAATTTTTCATTTAAATCAAAAAAAAAAAAAAAACAAATTGTAACAACAAGGAATGATAAAATCTTTTCAATTCTTTTTCTATTTCATTCACTTACAATGTAAAACTTTTTCATTAATGTTATTAATTCATTTATTTGTAAATATTTGTCTATTTATTTATTCACTTTAGATAGTTTTGTAAATATTATAATTATATACATAAGGAGTATTTTCTGGTATGCGTGACATTTAGATGAGGCATGGTCAGTAGTTGACCTACTCAGTTTTCATAGTTCCAATGATGATCCTTCATTGAAGTATCCATCAATTGACGTAGAAATAGAATTAATCTACACTCTTTTTTTCTCTTTGACCCTCTCCTTTCACATTATAACAAGCATTGTCAGTTCAAAATTATAGTAAACATGAATAAAATTGGTGACATGAAAAGGACAATTTTTTTCCTTGAAGATGTGAACTCACAAAACTTTCTCTCTTCCAAAAAGATGATAGACTGATGATAGTAAATGAGATGACAGGCACATTTTGCATTTATCTTTTTTGCTGAAAAACGAATCGTTGACATTTCACATTATCGCGCCTTTTTGATTAAAAGATTACGAATAAATTTAGACAAATTAAAATCATCAAATTTAGAAAAACCACATTAAAAATGTCAGTTCGGATAGATAAGAAGCAATAAAATTTGAATTTTCAATGCTGCAAACATTCAATACATTCCCGCAATAATATATAAATTACGGTAACAATTCCGAATTTGCTACAAGTATGGATGGTATGAAAATTTCATCGTACTAACAAGTAATGTGACATTTTAATCGATATGACAATTGGCTTGATTACTATGCTATAACTAAGTAATAATAGTTTTAAAAGTTAAAAATTGCATAAAACTAACGAAATAGCTCTGAATTGTTGTTATAATGGTTTTCTATCTCGAATTCATTACATATATTCTTTTCTTTTTCTTTTAGACAAATTAATTAAAGAACCAAAATTAAATTGCCTAAATTAAACGAATGATATTCAAATTTATTAATCGAACAGAAGCAGGAATTACTGGAATTGTTGATTATTAATTTATTTAGAATTAAAAAGAGAGAATTGCGAATTCAATGAAAAGTGATCGATGGAAAGATAATCGTTTTAAAATGTTAAAATGTCTTTAGTCGAATCGCTGTTATGGTACAAATTTTTCTTTTTTTTTAAAAAAAGAAAAAGGGAATTGTTCTAATTTCCTTTTGCTAATCTATGAGTGCATCAATTGATGAGAGAGAAAATTGACAAGATAAGTTATGAAATATGAGATTTCACAATTGAGAGAAATCTGTAGAAAGCGGAATAAGGAGGAGAACTGTTAAAAAAAAATCACTGATAAGACATTTTTTAGAGTCCGAATAATTCAATCCTCCCTCATTTCTATTGTTCCTTTCTTTCTTTTTAATTCAAAAACTAATCCACATAATGTGAGCCTAATTAATCTAATGGTATTTAATTTTGAACTTTAACCTCCTTATCTTCATAACATACTTTGTTCATAATAATCATAGAAGATAAATGGTGGAAGGTTTTCTCGCAAAATTCAATCTCAAACTTAAATTTTGAAATCTAAATAATAAGATCTTTAAATGTTAAGTCAAAATATTTGCTTAACTATTATAATTATTGTTAACCAGAAGAAACTTAAAGAGTAAACAAAAGTTGTATAACTCTTTTCCATTTCTTTAATAATCCAGCGATCGCAAATATTTCGAACGAATTCTCAACAGGTCATTATCATATCTAATAATCTACTGATGCTCTCATTCATATTCCTTTCCATTCATTCTCTTTTCTTTCTTCATTTCTTCAATGTGTTCATTTCATTTATTTTACAAAATTTAAAATGTAATCTGTTAAAAAATGAAATTGAAATTGCAATGTATTTGTTAACTTTCAAATTCTCACATTTCTTTACATTTAGGATTTTGAAATATTTTCTTACTCAAAAGGTGGTAGAAATGCGGGAAAAAAGAATTAGGTAATTAATTCCATTCAGTGAAAAGAAATTCTAAGCAGTTTGTTAGAGATAGAAATAAGTGAAGATGCCCGAAATAACACATAAAAAAATTTTTGTCAACCCCATAATTTGTCACCATGGAGGTAAAAGAACCATTTTTAAAAAAGCATTAGAAAAAGAAAAGAATGGAATTTAAGATCAGTTTGGAATGTACATCGAATTAAACGATATTCAATTGAATATAATGATTTTAAAGAAAACGAAAAAGATGAAAAATTAAGAAATTAAAAAATTATCCATAAATGAATAACAAAATGAACTATTATTCTGCTTGAATTAATTAATCCAAATTACTACCATTTATTCAAATATACCTATTCAAATTCTCAACTATTATTAATTATTATTTTAGTTAAATTAATTATCTTCACTAAAGTTAATTATTTTATTCAATTCTCAAACATTCTTCTGCTCATTGAATTTTAAAATACTTTAAAATTGCTTTTATTCGGAAACTTTTTAGCTTAGAAATATTCAAAATTTATATTTGAACATTCAGTCAAACATGCAATTCAATATTCTAAATTACATTTTATATTTCGGAATTTTCTTAGGACATCACAAATAGAGGGATGAATAACTAATTAGTTAATTAGTTTTTTATTCGTTTTGCTGACATTTAACTGACAGCAGAATGACTAACAATGTATTTGATTTTAATGAGGTGGAATAATTTGAGAGATGCAATTTTGAGAACGCTTTTGTGACAATAAAAAAAAAAAAGGTGACTTTGTATTACAAAGGTAAATTTTGTATTGAAATGAAGTTTAATTCTTTAAATCTATCGAATGAAATCTTTCCATTAAAAATTAAAATAATTGATACAAGGCAACTTCAAACATTGTTTAATACTCTTAACAATAGATATAAGTCAATGGTCTCAAATACTGACCATCGTAAAAGTGGTCATTTGAAGATTTTCAATATGTTATGAATAATGCAACCTTCAAAAGATTGAAATATAAAATTACTTTTTACGTAAGTGCGTGAATGATACTTACGTGAGTAGGGATGCTCCTTTTTATCAGCAATTGATATGATGATAGTAACGATGAAATAAATGAGTACAAATAGCAATGAACCGTTCATGACATCCACCAAACCGTTTAAGTTTTACGGAACGTGAGCCTTCCTCTACCGTCAGTTATACTCTTGCCCTAATTTACTCCCCCGTACTCCCCCATCTCCTCCCATTTCATCTTTCCTGCATCTTTACTACTCATTCAATCTCCCTCCTCTATTTTCTTCTCCTTTTGTAGTTGAAAGGAAGAGAAATGAAATAAAATTATATTATCTTATTAATTTGTTTGGACATCGGCGAGATATCCCACTGTGGTACGACTATGACAAGGCGGGGATAGAGGTTTGGAAAGGAGGACGGGAAAGCGGGAAAGACGGGGAAAGAATTTATTGCTACAACTTTGCAGCTATTAATATTAACTGATTTCTCATAAAAACCTATCAATTGCAACAATTTTTTCTAACGAATATCAAACATTTCAACTTTTTTTTTTTGGTTATTAGAAAACGACGACTTAAGAAAAGTGAAAAACGATCATTTTGTGATTTGTTTAATATCAAATTATCAGTTAAATTAACATTTTCACAATAATTTAATCAATATTCTCATCACAGTTTATCAGCAATTAAGTAAATAAAACAGAAACATACTGTTAAGATTTTAAGCTATTTTTAACAACAATAATAATAGTTATAATCCTTGTTATGGTTAAAATTAATTCTTTAACCGGAAAGTATCGGGAAGGAAATATACCGGGAAAGGATGAAGATGACAATAAACATTTTGATACAGAGAACTTTTCCAACAATCACTAAAAAAATAGTAATACAAAAAGGTAACAGATTGATTTCATCGTAGTACCATACCAACTTCTTGACTTCACCATAAATTGGAAATGGGCGACAACCAATAAAGTATTAATTAAATAAAATATTAATTACTTACAAATTATTTTTTGTTGTAATTATTATCGCTTATATTTATAATGCATATCGAGCCAAATGTTATGTTAAAAGTACACTGAAAGTTGTGCACGATAACCTGAAATCATTCAGAATACAATTTGGCATGAAACAGGTGTGTTTACTACAACCTGAAATCATTCGGAATACAGTATGACATGAAACAGGTGTGTTTGTTATAACCTGAAATCATTCGGGATACGGTTTAACATGAAACAGGTGTGTTTGCTATAACCTGAAAACATTCGGAATACGGTTTAACATGAAACGGGTGTGCTTTATAAACAGTTATATGACATACGGATGTAAATGAACTTTTGGACAATAATAACCATAACTTGAATCTTTTATATTATCAGCTAATCTTTTTTTTTTAATGAATAGCCTGAAGTTTCTTCACGATACTATGTAATTAACCATTGATTTGTTTTGACCATTTTTTGTCCTGTCACCTTTTATCTTACTTCAAATAAATCTTTCAATTAATGAATGATTCTCCAACGACATCACAAATAAATATCATTGTATCTGTGTTATTGGATGATAAAATAACTCGTTCCTTCCTTACCATGACAAATAACTTAATTAACCTTTGTCCCTTGCCATCTTTCTCAATTCCGCTTTTTCGATTTCGATCTCAACTCTTCGATCGCCAATTGTCCCTGAACTAATAAATGAGGACAATTGTTAATATCTTTGTGCTCATCAATAAATGTCACACTGAAATTGAGCGCAAATTAGTAAGTCATCAATTTTTCATTCAAAATTCAATCAGACAAGCGTGATTTCATCATGATACGCAAATAGTAACTGCCAGAACAGTAGGGTGTGGTACTGGATTAATTCACATTGCAAACCTCTTTCTTACTACTAATATACGGTCATATCTAGGAATCAATTACAGTAATAACACGAAAGTATTGTTATTATAATCAAATGGACAATTTCGGTATACTTTGTGAAATTACTTCGGTAAAGAAGAATTAATGCTGCTCAATAATTAACAATGATAAGTTTAAAAAGCGTCTAGAAATTTCACATGGCAAAAAAAAGCGAAACGAAAAATAAATAGATTGTACTTCAAGCCTTAAAAATATTGAAAATAAATCCAAAGGCTTCCTCGGAAAACTTGGCCATATATTCTTTTCATGGAAATTTAAGGCCTACTTCGATAAGCTCTCAAATGTTTATGAAGTAAGCATGAATGAAAGCAAAAATCAATGCTTACATCTTGCACCATTCACATGTTTGAAATTTTTGTTTAAAATCAATTTTGACCATTTTGGTCAAAATCTTACAACAAAAATTTTCACTCTATCAAACTTTTCTCAGTAAGCAATGCAAGAAGAGATATGAACAATATCAACTGACCCAAATCTATTCTATTCTCTTAAAAAATTAAATTTAAATTCTATTCTTATTGGTTTTCGTTCATGCGTACTTACGTAAGTAAACACGTGTTTATACGTGTGTATGTATGTTTCAGCATATTGTACATGTACATATTCCTCCACCCTAAGATTTATGACGACCCAAAAAATCAAACGTATCTAAAGAAAAAGTCTACTAATTGCTTTTTGAATTGGCCTAATTCTTATGTATGTCAAAAAAAAAAAAAAGGAATGAAAAGGAAGAAAAACAATAGTTGCTCTTGATGCATCAATTCATCAACAATTTCAGCAAAATTTTTAAAGCACAAATGAATTAATAAATTTAAATTTTAAAAAATTAATTTTAAATAAAATCCCATTCAAAAAATTTTAAATATAAAAAGAAGGTTAAAAGGTTAAATTTCGTCTTTTACAATTCTTCATTACTATAATTGGTTGTTTCAAATTTTTATGAACAAAAAGAAAAAAGAGAGAGAGAGAGAGAAAGGTGAAGGTTTTATGAATTTGAGCTGAAGTGAAGGATGATCGCCGACGAGGATTTATCTATGCATTACCAGAGCATATGAAATCTTACTACAGACAATTTAACCCAAAGATGTTCAGAATGTATATGTAGTCCATCAAATTTCCAATTTTGTTAATTAAAATGAGATTAAATGAATATTTATGGGTTGATAAGAAGGACACAGTAATAGATGAAATACAAATTAAAAGTCTTAAATTAAAAAGATAATTGGCGAATAATTAATAAAATGAAATGATTAAAATGGGATGAAAAATTATAAATGATTTCTCCATCGTTTTTTTTTTGCTTAATAACTGTTAGCAATGTTTGCACTAAAAATATAATAATATAATCCGTGTAACCTTACCATCCTTTGTAATTTTATCAATTTTTTTAATCCGTATAACCTTGTCATAACTCCTGAAATTCCCTCAAATATCAATTTTTGATAAGATTAATATTGGACTTAGGAAATGGATGATAAATTTATTAGTTCCAAATAAACCATCGGATATGTTAATTAATACAACTTGAATTTATGCATAAGAATTCCTCCTGTGTGATCCGCCAAATCTATTCCTTTCGATTTAATTTGTTCATCAAAGAATAGGCTTATTTTTGATAAGACTAAGGAATCAGCTTATAAATATTTTTCAAACAGAAATATTCGAATTTATCTAATCGTAAATTTATCGATGGCTAAACCCATTGCTACTTTTTTTTTTTTTTTGGTTAAACTTTTGATAAAACTTAAACTCACTTTAACCGATTTTCTAAAAAGTCAAATTTTTGTTTGATTAACATATCTAAATTAGTTTACCCGTCACTATCGCTAATTTTCTCATTGCTTTCATGCTCATGAACTTGTACATTCAATTAACGTTTAACAGTGTTATGAATGATAACATAAGTTGTGGCTCACCAGCATGACCTTTTCTGATAAAGGAAAGAGAATAGAAGGAATTCAGTAGTGTAGTTAGAATAAAGAAGGAAGGAAAGGAGAATTGTCGCATACATTCACCACATGACAAATCTAACAGTTACAGATTTTCTGAACAATTCAATGAAGTTGAAAAGTTGTTTCATGTTAATTAATTTACTTGTCGTAGTAGTGAAATTATTACAATTTCAGTTAATTTACTCAGATTACTCAGTCTTACTAAAAACATCAATAATCTCACAAATAAAAGCAACCTTATTAAAGCTTAATTCTTTCATGAAAATAGGCAACAAATGAATGATTCATATAGTCTATAAGAAATTACTCATTTCATGTTTATTCATATTGTAATATAGCAGCAGCATTTCATGAACAACTAATAATATGTGATAGATATGGAACCGGAATAATGTAACCGGATCTTCCTTTCTTCATGCCTGACCATTGTCCATTTTTTTACACTTCATGTTGCAATTTAAAGACATTTAAAAACCATATAAGACTGTATTCATTTAGCAAGTGTAAAGTGTAATGCATGCAATGCAGCACCGTATGCTGCATTACATTTCGGATATGTATCAGCTGAAGCGATAACTTCAAGCAGCCCCTGACATTGCCGGATTATTTCGTCGATGAAATAATTTCTACTTGCATTGCCAGCTAATTTGATGCGTTTAATGCCCCACTCTCGAAGCTGGTGAGGTGAGAGAAGACGGAATAGGTTGGAAACGATCCCAGAGGCTGTACGATAAAGTAGCTGAAAAGAAAACTTTCCAAATTATTAAAACTTGATTTCTTACGGATAATTGGGTAAAATTTATAAGAGAAGTGTAAATTCAGTATTTGCATCTAATTATTTAAATATAAGTGGCAGAATTTATGCGTATTTTCAGAATCTATGCAATTGTAAGCTTATAATGTAGTGTATATGATGGAAACATGGATGAGGTGAAATAACGACATAAAAAAGTCTAAAATTAAACTTTATTAAGAATTTTATTCTTTCAATGACAATCTCGAAATCTACTTTTCTAGTGCCTAATTGATGGAGCACAGTATGAGATGCATTATCAAAAAATTGTCGCTGACCACAAGTTGAAAATGTGGAATACATTAAACACACCTCTTCAATAGTGGTACTTGAACTGATTCCGGAAATGCATGATGAAATATTATTCGCACGTTCGGGTATAAATACTGGTTGAACATCGATTGTAGACGACAGACATTTTCCAGTTTCACTTAATATATTGTTTAACTTTTCATAATCCACTTGCAGATCGTGTGCATCTGAGATGAGTTGTGAGGCCCATTCAACGATTTTCTGTAAAACAACGCTATCATTGAAAAGGAAGGAGAATATCGAAAGTGAAAATTTGCACTGATTATAAAGTGCTTCCGGAAAGCTCAATTTCAAAATTCTTGGAAATTCCCACAATTTCAACTTCCTTAAGAACAAAAACTGAAATGGAAAAAGTATTTCCTGAAATCAAATCATTTACTGAATACAGCATTTATAACAAATGGTAATCAGAAAAGAGCGTTTGCCTCTGCGATCAGATTAATTGCGTTACCGCCATTCATTGATGCGGCCACGATTATTTTCTTTTTTCCGGATTCACCAAAGAACGGTTTCGTAAGAAGGGGAGTGGAAACGACATGATCTATTGTTGGTGAAAAACAGAGCTGTGCTGATGTCCCCAAATTTAATACTAAAAAGCATGAATAATTAATAAAAGAAGATTAGTTTTCATTCAGATTTTTAAAATTGATCCTCGGCTCCAGTAAAACAGAAGTTTCTGACTTCAATATAGATTTGTCGCCCCAAATTCAGAGAGGAAAATCACTACTTTTATTCTGTGATCTTTTAGATTTCAATTAATTCACTGCTTCGTTAAACAGATAGGAAACAAGCGCAGAAATGTTATCAAACTCAGTTATTGATTCCAAACATTCAAGTTTTTTGGACTGAAATTCTGTGCAAAAACTCCGAATTCAAGGTTTTGTTTCTAAAAGAAGAACTGGAGTTTTTGTTTGACAATAAATGAGGTGGAAGAAATGTGGCATCCGCCAGATATTTTTCTCAGGAATATTTTCCTTGTGTTCAAATGATAGAGAGCTGAAAAAATAATTAATAGAAATTTAAGAACCAGCCGTTCCAGGTTCTAGCAATGGATAAACGGTAGTCTGAAGATCACCACAGGATGCTAAAAGTTTTGCACCAGTTGGTAAACAAAAATTAGCTCGCTTGACCGAACCAATAATTTCTTCCGCTGAACAAATCGTTGGGAGTATGTGCATTGGTACCAATTCATTCTAGAGTAAAATGTTTCAAATTCATTTCTTTGGAGTTCACGGCCATATAATCATTCAAATCTTTGAAAACATGACTTGGCCCACAGCCTACTAGCTGACGAATTAAATGGAGTAATTTGACAGCTGACAGCTAATAGTAGATCTCAATAAAAATCTATGTAATATCATAGTGAGGATATAAATTAAAATATCAAGGAGAATACCACATGATATCCTAATATAATTATTTTTCTAAAACTCCGAACGGATAGCTTGACGATGATGAAGCATCCTATTATTATAGATAAGTTATTCACAAACACCGTTTACCATAAGAGTAATATGAAATGCTACATAAAAGTATCCTAAATTCTTGGTGAAAGATTATCCAGGCTACTTGGTCGCAATTACTTTAGTATTTTAAAAGTTTAAGTGGAAGTGTTGAAAAGTATAAACTTATACGCCAGTTATATTTCGTAGTTTCTATAAAAATATCACAAAAATAAGGGATTTTGAAAAAAAAAAAATGTAGACCGATACAGTCCAATATCCATTATAAGAGCAATAACCCCAGCTAAATGCATTCTGAATGCCAATAAATGCATTGGGGGATTGCAAAAGGTAACAAATGACCATATCCATGATAGTACCACAGCAAGTCCATGCTGCACTAAGTTGACCACACGAATGAAGCCATGCAAGAGTTACCATACCAAAACCAACATGCAAGCAACCGCACTCCCATCTGTATCATATCAACCAATGTATTGGTAATAAATTGAGACTAAATTAATATCTAATTAATTAATTAGTAGTATTAATTGGAGAAACTTTGTAAGCCTCTTGCTGGGAAATACTGCATAATCATTTCCTGGATTTGAAGAGATCAAAAGAAAATAAGTTAATAAAAACATACACTCACACAATTAATTCAAAAGCAAAGTGAATGAGCGTACAAATTGTCGTTGGTAAGGAAAGTGAAGAAAAATCAAAAGGAGGTCAAACCTTGGAAGCGAATCAAGGAATGTCGTGGGTACCCTTTCGTCCATCCATGTTATCAATGGTGAACAATTAAATTTACCTAAAAACTGTCTTCACCATCATGCTATCATCCTTCAATAATTACACAAAATTCTATTTCGTTCACATAATGCATATCATTTCCATGCTGCTATTTGAGAAGTGAAATTTATCATGATTTTAATCACACTTTCTCTTCCCTTTCATACTACCTTCTGCTAAATCCTGTCCATTCCAAAGGACGATACCATGCATCTGCCCTGTGATACTAACAGTCACATTCAACGATAGATTCACTTCCATGGATTTCATCAAATTATGTAAAACATCCAATATTTTAACCGGATCTTGTTCACGATATAATTTCGATCCATTTTTTAGCCATGCATCATGCACTGCTGATTTTTCCGCAAGTATTCTAAATTTGAATTTATGAAAAATGAATTCCATTCCTCATTTGCAAAAATTAACTAATGGATCGGACAAAAACACATCTCGGAGTAATTAACCAAAATTAAGAAACTAATATAATAATTTCTAACTCTAGCAGTTCCAAAAAAAAAAAAAAAGAAAAAGAAACCTTATAATGCAAAAAGCGTAACCAAGCTTCAGTTCAATAAAAATGCAGACTTGATGAGGGATTGATAAAAAAGAAAAAAAAATATTTCGTAAATTTTTAATGAATAGGCAGTACTTCATGAACCAAAAAGGAATTGAATACAATCAAAATTTATACTCAATTTTACATTCGCCATTGTTTTTTCTTTATGGCCTGAAAAAGAGGAAAATTGATGCTTTACCGGCCGTTGATATCCAGTATGCAACATTTAATACTTGTCGTTCCAATATCAATTCCAATGAAATCACCCACTGCTACTTCTTCCATCGAAAGTCTGCCAACAAATAAAATGTACAATTCATGATAGACCATACCAATTAATTTTGCTACTTATCTGGCCTGCTTCTGTTACCCATAACGTCTTGGCTTACGCAAAATATTGCACAAAGGAAAAAAAAAAACACATAAATAACTATACAAGATGTAATTCTGCAGCCTAGACATATACCCAAACCTTATTTATATTTATCCTGTACGCACATATAGCTATCTTTACACTATTACTGAATTACTATTTGACATGTCTTGGAATTGACCAATAAGACTTTCAAGAAAATCTTCTTAAGATTTGCAATGTCATCTATCCAACTATCCCATTTAACTATCCTTCAATCACTCCTGTAGTTCTTATTCATTTAAGTATTTTTCTGATATGTTTGATGGTGTGCATAAAATAGATTGTGGTGAATCTCGGTTGTTTTTGATCTCGTAATCTATTTATTGTATCTGTTACGTTTTCCGGAAGCAGGTAGACTTCTTTCTAAATTTATTTAATCACGTCACTATAACGTATCAACGTATCTAAGATATCTTAGGAAGATTTTTCGCTTATTCCTTAGATGATAAACACCCGCTATTTTAATATCAGTATTGCGAAGTTGATAAATTTTTTTTTTCCAACAAAGGATAGTGCAATATGCAACCAAAAAGCTCAAGAAACATCGGCTATTAATTTAAAATTTTATTTATTATTCTCCCATAATCAACAACAAATCAAACAAATCCAATAGATATCGCTAATTTCTGACGTAATAGAAAAATACAAATTAAATTCCGAAACAAATGAATCCATCTAAAAATATTTATAAAAAAGAATATATATATATACCGTTCCACTGGGATAAACTTCTGCTTCCCTTAGCTTCTTTCGTAACAATTATATTAAGGGTCGATTGCTGGAGAAAGAATATTTGAATGCAAAAAAGTAATTGGTGAAGAAGTAAAAAAGTAATCCCTCACATTAACTGTTCCCAAAGTATAAACCAATCACAACGAATATCTTCTCTTTCACAATGCTAAAAAAGCCGACAATATATTGAACTTCTGATGTACATGATTATATCTTTTTCTGTGAAAAAAAAAAAAGCTCATATCATGTATGTGGAGACATAAAAGAAGATCTAATTCAATGCATGGGAAAAAAACACATGGAGCCGGCAAGAAGTGAGAGCTCTTCAATCCTTAGAGCAACGATCAATGGATGGATACATATTTAATTAAAAAAAAAATGAATAAAAATGATCGGCAAGCAACAGTGAGCAGAAGGGAATGATTGATTTCATGGAAAAAGACTACAAAAAACAGAAAATACATCAGGCTGCGAAGAATGAACTGCTCAAGGCATTGAAGTTAATATTATGTCACTTGAATTTCATGTATAGTAATAGCCAATCTTCGTCGTTTATATAATTTATGATTAAAAACAAACTACAAAAATGATTATCAGAAGACAGCTTACTATGATTATCATCTCAAGTGAAAAACTAACGAACGCTAAAACAAAATAAATAAATTAATAGTGATTAGAATTGTGAGATAAGAAAATTACTGTAATTGTGATATAAAAGACTGAAAGAAGACTTAAAAATGACAATTCAGGAAAGGAAATGGAAAGAATAGATTTACAGAGAGAAAATATGACCAATTATTAAAAACCCGTATCTCTAAAAAATTTCAAAACAGTAACAGTATGCGTACAGATTTGTTTCACAACAAACTACTACAAAAAAAATGAGGAATCCCACTGCGGTTATCAAAAATCCGCAAACCATTCATGCAATCATTCCCTCATAGTAATAAGAAATTTGAATAACGAAAAAGGAACGAATAAAGATAGATGAATAAAGATGAAGAAGGAATTTATTCGCGTTATTTACAACAAAATGTGCTGTTCTTTTGGTTAATCAACCACTGGAAAGAGAAGGAAAAAGCTGCGAGGAAAGATAAAACTGAAGGTACCAAGACTATAAACTCTACCTATGTGCTCATATCCTCTCTAAGAGGGACCAATAACTTAACATGTTTAAAAGTACTCTCCAAATTCACGACCAACAAATATCTCAAATATTTAATGCATTCATAAGTACTATCATTTTTGTTAATCCTTCGTCACTTTTATGCTATTTCCAGATTCTGGTAGCAAAAGTGTTACCTATCCGTTTTTTTCGCCATAGTTTCCACTTTGGATGATGGTTTCGGCAGAATGTCGGAATCCCGCGAAACCGAAATCACCGATTTATTTGGAGCAAATACTTTTTTGAACACATCATCTGGGCCCATATTCTTCACCGCCAAACGGTATGCTTCTATCACAGATAGCGAATTTTTTGTGATGCCTTAAAATTAAGAAAGAATCATTTTAAATCGCTGATCTTAATAAGTGGAAGGCAAGTGGACAGTGGGAATGCCAAGAAGATTGACTGTGCCATCTTATATCAAAACATTCTCGAAACTAAAAAAATTATTACTCAAGATTAGAGTTTTGGTTAAGGATCAAAAGTGGATCAGGAAAGGTGATAAAATGCTCTAAGACAAATATAGTGTCCCTCAAAAACCTGAATAATTACAAACCATGTACTAAAAGCAAAATACGGCACTAAATATATTGAAATTACGAAATTTTAGGCGCTTCGTAGAGCCGAAGTACTCAAACCTCTAAAACAAACATTCGCTTGCATGCATTTGCTTCAATGAGATCAATTTCTGATAAATCACCAAAGTTCATGAAAATATTATCCCAAATGTATCAAACAAGATTAAAAACATATGAATAACTAACAAACTCACTTCACGCCTGAAAAGTAGATTTAGTAAAATCTTGAGACTTTATAAAACTGAACTAACCGAAAGGTCGTAGATGATAAATAAGATATTCCAAAACGTACATCAATGAAGGATTTACGTAATGAAACGATATTGCGTAATCACTACAACATTCTGGACCCTATACAAAATAAACAGGAAAGTAATAACTTGTAAATTGTATACTAAAATATGTAAAACCGATCTCTCTTCGAAAACATCAAAGCTAATTAAAAGAAAATAAAGAAATTTCATTTCAGTACTGGGAATCCTTTAACATGGTAAATGACAAGGAGCATTATCAGTGAGTTCGCTTTCCCAACATGAATGTCGTGGCTTAAACCAAACAAGTGGGTCAGTAAAGATTGGAAGGCTAGGACAGATTAGCAAATAGGGAATCAGTCAAAATTTAATGACAGAGTGATGACAACATGAATGAGACGAACCTGTTCTACAGGATAATATGTATATTGCCAGAACCAAAATTTCTTATCTACATGTCCTGGCATTAAATGATGTTCTGGTACGAATGGCAGGAACCTGAAACATTGGCAGTTAGACTTATCACGAGCCGTCAAATACAAGCATTTATTGCAAAATCATCGAATCAACAACCCTTTTATAGTAATTAGTAACCTGTGGTGACCCTCAGCATCTCTCGAATCGCCTGCTTTTACGCCAACTCTCTCCAAACATTTTCCAATTTCTGCATCTTCCGCACCACTTTCACTTTTCTTACACTTGTTCGAATCCTTAATTTCGTTCCGAACTATTCATTTCAAAATAATAGTTTCTCCGAAGAATTTAATGAAAGTTTAAAAAAGTCTCCCATCATTTACTAATGGAATCTTCTTTGACCAATTACTCATCTGCAAGAACAATTTACTCCACTAAACTAAATCATAAATCAGTGCGTTGAATCAACCAAGCTAAATGCATTCTGAATGCCAATAAATGCATTGGGGGATTGCAAAAGGTAACAAATGACCATATCCATGATAGTACCACAGCAAGTTCATGCTGTACTAAGTTGACCATACAAATGAAGCCTGCAGGAGTTACTATACTAAATCCTTAGTCAATCTGACACTTCAATAATACATTAATCAACTCATCATTCCCAATGGAACCAACATCACCCATCCAAGTATGTTAAAATTACCGGAAGTGCCTCGGTGACAAATTTTTTAAGGGCTGATCTGGAGAGCACATAACCAGCTCCACCACTCATATAACCCTGTTTTGTGAAGGGCTTAAATTTACAGCCAAACCAAACTGGTTCATTTGGGTCATGTGCTAATAACATGAACCTGAAATAAAATACCATGCTCAAGTGAATTGTTAGTATTATTTTCACCTTTTCATTTCATGCTTTCAGACAAATTCACCCGTAACGCATTACGTTTAGAGTTTCTTTCACAATGAATTAAAAATCCAGTACTTTAAGGTTCCATAACAATGTACAAAAACATCTAAAAAAATGCTTCACAATATCTACGAATATATTTGAAAAACAAGATTCTCAACAATGAAACAGTAAAAAGAAACCTCAAATTTTCCAGGATAACATAAGTATCATCGTCCGCTTTCAAAAACCAGTCATAATCGTCAAGGTAAAAATCATGCAAATATTTAAATGCTGCTTTTGTTTTGGCCCATAAATGATCACGACCTTCTGTTATGTTCAAATTTATGGACGGCAAGGATGGATCTGTTTCGGAAGACATAAACAGGTACCTGTCATTGGAAGTATTTGTAATTCAAAATTAATGTAATCTTGAAAAAATATCAAAAAATTATACTCGTTTAGTACAAGTGAACTTTGTAACAACAAATTTAGACATGTAGCAGTAAATTATATGTGAAATAATCCAGAAGACGGAATAAATGAAACTTCGTCCTTCCCGTCACACTGTCACTAATATCACCTATGTTTTTAAAAATTCTTCCACTCGTCAATCAGTACCTAATAGTTTTAGACAAATGAAGCAACATAAGCATTTCTAATGACTTCATTTGTTTTCTCATACCTTTCTAATCCTCTTTTCCGCTTTCAACCTCTTTCTAATTCAGAGAGATCTCCTCTTTCATTATAACCTGAAGGTAATATATCACTAATTTTTGGGGAAATTTTCAAAACTGACAATGAGATAAGTACGATGAGTGAAGTAATGGTTCCATCAAGCACTTTTTGATATATGTAAGACTAAAGCACAAAGAATCCAACTTACTTCGAACAACGTCGGCTCCACGTCGCTTTCACGTGCCTCGCTCTTTTCTCATGATTTTGCTTACCCGTCAATATCCAACAGAATATTCGCACCTTTGATTCCAATAATTTTGCCATAGCATTATTATCTGTAAACAGTGGAAATTTCGAAAGCTTCCGATAATTTTAAAAACCTAAAAGACTGAAAGACTATTGAGGCAGAAATATAACCTGAATTAAGTCTTCTTTAGGAATTCACGAGAAATAAACTTTAATTTAAGAGATAAGGGAATACCATCATGTAGACTGGTTCCATTTTCATGAAAATACATTGCAGCAGTTGGTGCATTATTATCGTCAACTTCCCATTCATTATGAGCATCATTAAAGTGACTAGAAATCCGCCGAGGATTTTTAATTATTAGCCCAGTCATCGGTGAAGTCACAGTCTGGTTACCTAACAAAAGGAGAGAATAAGAGATAAGCCAAGATTAGTACTGTCTGTTTTATCAGCATTCTTGACTGCAAGTGCTCTAAAGTGATCTTTCCTTAAAAAATTTAAATTTTCAACATTTAAGGACAATAAAATAGTACCAAACAAATAAATGAATAAAAGTTTGAGGCCAAATAAAACTTTCAGTGACAATAAAAATCCAGGATGACGAAAATTCTAACTGATAAAAGTACCACAGCCGAGCACAAAAGGAAATCATCAATTTTTATTTCTTAATCCCTAGAGCCGCATAAGCTGACGATTAATTTCATACTTCACAGCTAATGTAACAAGAGACAAGTTCTCATTTGAAGGAGTCCATTAAGCTTATACTAAGTGTAATGTTCGCCAATAAACAATTTCAACGCTATTAAAAGATTTTGTTTACATTTCGAAGGCTGAAATCGTTTCTGCATAAATGTTGACATCGAACAAGACAAAATTGAGAACTCACCCGATAGAGACAGGAATGACAGAGAAAACCCGATGATAACACCGACTAACACATAAAATCCGGATGATAATAACCGTACATTAAGTGGCATTTTTCTACCAACGACAGCAAATAAAACCATTCGTGCATTAAAATCAACCAATGGATAGTTTGAACATTGCTTTTGCTATCAGTTCTGAAATTGGAAACAGTGAAAATTCCCGTACTTTAACAATTCACAAATCAACTGCATACAAAAGAGTCCATATCATTAATATTAGCTCACCAGCAGAATATTTACATTTAGTCGAAACAAAACGCATCAATAGATATCAATAGCTTAGAAAGTTTAATTCGAAATACATAGATCCGAATAAAAATCTGATCAGTTTATAAAAAATGTTTCCAAGCATCTAAATCATAATTCCAATAATTTTTTTTTAACAAGATGGAAGTAATCACTGGTGATCACTGATCAGGCATCATCAATAAATTAATCATCAAAACGTATTATAAGTTCAAGCAGATAAATTAAATGCGTGTCGTTTACCACTCATATTTTGTCATCCCGCTCATAGTATCCAGTCCCACCAATGCTATTTGTTATTTTAAGTTTACCAACAGATTCCGATTGTAGCACGAATGTATTAGTCAGATTAAGCTGGTAGAATAAAAGCTGATTGAAAGAAAAAGAATAAAAGTGAAATAAATGGAAATTTCACGTTGATAATTGAAGTAACATACGTGAAGGAAGCTCATGAGAAGTCAAAAAAAAAAATAAGGAAAGAATTAATTTCAGCCAGAAAATAAATGTTGATTACATATATATATTATATATATATATATATATATATATATATATANNATATTATT